GATTGAGTCATTCTAGCAAAACGGAACAATACAGAAGCATGCACCACAATAGTCCACAATATACATTCGGATGAAGACCATACCATATTGGCTACCGGTCAATTCTTGTCGCACCATATTTTCCCATTCTATCAATTTAGAGACATACTATGACATACTCATCATACTCCTCTTACAAAACATAGCTCCGCCCTTATCATTTGCAGCGTCCGTCTTTGCCAAGAAACATCATCCGACGTGCGAAACACCTCCAAGTACATCTGGATCACATGAATTGGTGTCGGGCCGACAAAGCCCTCGTTGAGGATGGAGAAGGGAAGATCATCTTCCTTTCCAAACTTCTTTCATCAAAATACAGGTTGGCAACTTTCAACTAAACACATCACCTTTCCGACAAGTATCCCACTCAAAGCTCATGTCGATGGAGTCGGCTGTCAGGGCATTTCCAACCAGTTCGACCGATCCTTCCACCGTTTCCAAAAAATGATAACTTTGGAAGCAACAGCAAACGACCCGACTGGATGGTGCCAATCCAGCGATGATGAATATGCCCACGGTGAGGCCCGTAGCCTTCCACTCCTCTCTTCAACTCGGTAAATTTCGATGGCATCGACACGAAGCCTCGTTTGGCCACTCGTGGAAGCATCTGAAGCAAGATCTCGGGATTCATCACATCTTCAATGATGTGAGACGCAACGGCAAACTCGAACTTCCCCGCACTGTTCACGTGCTGGAGCAATGGCTCCCATGCAGACTCTTTGTTCACATCCAAGTCAAAGCGAAGGAGTTTTTGCGGTTCACCATTGCGACAACACCGTTCATATCCATAGTCAGGAGTGAAACAGCTTATGTTTTGCTCATCAGCCTTCAAAGTGGTCCGTGGTCCCGAACGGCAGCAAAAGCGTGCGACATTGGCTGAAAACCAAGCTTGCTCAAAGCAATCGTCCACAACATTTGGGGTTCGATCTGCTACAGCAGTTACCACTCCCAGTGTCCAAGGATTCATTGCAGCGCCCACGTCGAGGACTCTGTAGCGTGGACATCGTGCTTGTGCATCTGCCAAGCGTGAGATGACCTGGTCTCGAGACCCATCTGAGATGTGCAAAGAATGAATCGCTGCGTGGATGCACCAAAGCAACCTTGGTGCAAACATGGAACACCAAAATGAGCCCTTCAAATTGAGGCTTCGGAACCCCGCATGAACTTACGATTGAGTGGGAATGGATAAACATATAATATGGAGGTGTCACAAATGAAGGTGCCACCAAGATTCGTTGAGCCCAGAAAAATCAGGCTCCATGAGAACATTCAGTACAGCCGCACACATGGCACTAGACCAAGCCTTTGCTTGGTGTTTCGAGGAGGCGCCCCCCCTGAGGTTTGCAGCTAGTAGTTTAATATGGTCTGTAATCTTACCGGTCTTGATGTCCTCCAGTCCCTTCAAAAATTGGATTTTGCGGAAGTTGGCGAGTGACTTGGGTTTGGGGATGTCACTTTCACACCTTACAGCACCTGGTTAGCATCTTTCACTTGCTTTTGACATGCTTATCTGCAGTATATATATATATACACATACAGTATAGGTTTTAGGCAGGTATTTTGTTTTTGCTCGTTTGCTCACTTCATGGATGCTCATGGTTTACACAGTTCGGTCGTTCGGCTGGCCCTGCACTCCAAAAACATCCAAAAACATCAACTTCATCAACTGATGGACAACTCCGCTGATGAAGCTTGCAGCAGCCGTGATGGCATCTCTCTTTTCTCAATCACGATCAGCTAATCTCAATCCTATCATGGTATCTGAAGAGAATGAATCCTCCCAGTGTCAGCGAAGCAATAGATATAGCAAACAAGCCTTGGTGTGCGCCGACAAAGAAAGTCATAGTTTGACTTTATCCTTGAGTACCCCGAGCACATGACTGAGATATGTCACCCTTTTGCATGCCTCTTGCCAACGGCGAAAGGAAGCAGCTACGACAGAAGTTGCAGCTGAGCAGCACCAGAAAGCAACACGAGCCCAGCCGCACTTCAGAGGAGAATCCATGCATATTATGCCTAGCAGCATATGTATACATATATATACACATACACATATATGTTTTATCATGCATAGTTATATATATATATGTACATTGACATATCTGTAGTCTTTACATTGCACAAGCATCACACGTTTTCGTACATTCGCCATTTTCAAGTTGAGGCTCCCCATATCCAAAGCACAAAGACCAGGACAATAAATATAGCAGCAGACACAATCGAGCAATTCTTCGCGATCTCCATCCTGATTGGCAAAGGACAATACTTTTAAGGTTGACTCATGTTGACCCTCGTGCTTGTACCAAACAAACATCTACTGGTGGACATATTTTTCAGGTTGAGGCTGAGACATGGCTAGGCAAGGCTACATTAGAGTCAAATTGCATCAACTTCTCAAAACCACTTTGAGGAAGTGCTTATAAGTATAAGGAATAGCACAATACTCTTCCTCCAACATTCATAGCAGCCACGGATAAAAAACAAAAATCCATGCCATGATTGTGGCACACAAAAAAGCACCTGACACAAACATAGAAGTCTGAAAATTCGAGAAGAATCTCAGCTGAAACCAACGCTATCATGAAATCAACTGGGTTTTTGCTGCTCTGCTTCCAGGTTAGTGTTAACGTCATAGTCATTGATTTCTCAGTATTTAATTATCTTTCTGGGTGGCTTCCATGTTATTTTTTGAAAAAGCTTCGCTGGCTTCCATGTTAATGATTTTTAAAAAAACAGAATCCTCTGCTTCCATGATTGTCTCATGGAGTGTAAATGTATATAAGAAGGTAAGGGCTGTTTGAATAAGGCCTACCCTCTAAAAGGGGCCTTATTCAAGGCACCCAAGCACCTTCCTATTATCAATCGTTCTTTGTTCATCTTTGTTCCTTGTAATGTCTCGTGGTAACCCTAGTGACGTGCCAACCACCTCCTGGATTTTCGTACTCTAATGCCAAGCGTCCTCCTCTGAACTCGAGTAGACATCAGCTCTGCTTCTTTCTCTTCCCGTTCACGCTGCTGCTCCTACTGCCCCATTCATTTTTGTTTGAATATGTTCGCCAATCGTACAATGTTTCCTACATAATGAACGGTATTCATGTGCGACTTGCTTCCTTCCCAGCAAAAGTTCATCAGTTGAGCTCCTTGTAGTGGTGCGCTGCAAATCGGAAACCAACCAGCTTCCCCACCTTGAAGGTGACCATCAGAATTTGACATGAAGCGAACACTTAACCGATGGCTTGCCTGATCCGCAAACCACAAAACCATCGCGCAGCACCACAAGCTCATGCCAATATGCCTCAGCCCGGATATGTGTGACACCACCTTGTCCAAGCACCATGCAGCCCGGCATCTCCATGCAGCCCAGGAGCACCAGACCGAGGTCCATCAGCGTATGCACAACTGCGGAGTGGCACGTCCTGGCTCTTTTCGGGAACAGCTGTGCGAAAGCAGGGAATCCATGGTACACATGCATATGACGAGGAATGTGTAAACACTTAGGGAGTCTTTGTCTTATGATGACTTGACATTTTCTTGCACGCATGATGGCCAACCTCCACGGAGCTCTGTGCTGTCCCAGGTGCTTTGGCGCCAAAGCTCCGCACAGTAGAAAAAATGGATCCAAAGAGAAGGCCCGGCCATGCAAAGCAAAGACCTCCGGCAGTCGCCAAGGTCCCAAGATGGAGAGACATTTGATCCATCGACTTCCGACAAACTGGACAAATTTCCCGCTGCGGTGGTGTACCAGTGTACTATGTACCACTTCAATACAGTTTCCAAGGTTGCGACCTGCAGCTGTGTACTCTCTACCTTGCAGCTTGTGACTTTCCACACATCTTCATCAGTCACAACTTCATGGCCTTCATTGGGTTGGAGGCCATCGCTCTCAGGTTGGAGGCCTGCTCAGATCTGCACAAACTCCCCGCCCCATCGACCTCCGTAGCCCCTGGGCACGGACGAGTACAAACGATCCGCGGGATGCGCAGAAGCTCTACGTGCCGATCCTCAACGTCAGGCTCTTGGCTAAAGCTCGGGGACGAATGCGCACTCATGAAGGAGGCATTCCTGAAGGTCTGTGATTCAGCAAACAATCAGTTCTGTATCCCGTTTTTGCACTCTTCTTTCATACGGACGTGCAAGTAAACCTTCATGAACGCTGCTTCATCTTCTTTGGATCTTTCTTTTGGTTCTTGTTTAAGCGAATATTACTAGCTTCTTACTACTAGTAGCAAGTGCATCGCTACTAGTAACAAGGGCATTACTACCAGTAACAAGAAGCTACTAGGGGCTCCTGGCATCGCTACGAACGGAGCGTTCGGACGCTACGAACGGGGCTCCTGGCCTTACTACTCGTAACAAGAAGCTACTAGGGCTTTCTTACGGGCTTTCTGGCGCCTTGTTACGCCCACTGAGCATCTCACCGATCCACTGAGCAGCGATCCACCGAGGAGAGCTCAATGGAAGAGGGAGTCATGGGCAGCTCACCCGCCTGGCGTCTGTCGGTCTTTCCCACGCGAAATATGTGTCACAACGTCTTTCCCATCTTTGCCTCAAAAGCATCCATTGATATCCAATTTGCTTTGTCTTTGCACAAATGAGGAGCTACAGCTACACTACAGTCGGCCATTTGATAGTATTTCAGTGAAGACCCCCTCAGTGAACATAATTCTGTTGCGCCTGTTCACGGGCCATTGCCAACGTCAATGAGTTGGGACTTCTGCTTGTTGTCGCCGTGATTTATGTCATGGGCCATGGGTCATTATCAATACATAGTAGTAGAGTACAGTACTTGTGATGATTTGTGCCTCTGGAGGTTTCCATGTCAGAACAATAAGTAGGCGTAGTTCTAGCTTCTCTCGCGACAACAGTTTGATCCCTCCAGCTAAAGAAGTTGTCGAAAAGCCAAGCAGCTAGATTTGGAAATTCCGAAGTCGTAGTCCATTCATTGCTACGTACTGTAAATATCATGCCCTTTCTTTCTGTTTGTTAGGGACAACATGGGACAACGCTGCAAGTCTTGCAAAGCGAGCTCTCATTTCTTCAATCACCTGCGAGAGAATCAACGCAAGGCGCTGGCTCAGGCGGTCGAGGGAGTAGGATTCTGCCAGTTGCAAACCCTTTTGACGCAAGTCAAATCGAAGCGTTGAATTGGTGACAAGTTCACTGACCCAGTGCAAGGCCTCCTCAATACCTTGGCCGAAAGGTATCAAACCATATCACACATCTCTTCTTCTTCGGCAAAAATAGAGGTCAACTTTGGGCAGTCCGCCGAGCCTTTTCAAAAAAGAAACACCGCAGCACAAACAAGGGATGATAGATGACGCCCTGCATGGAATGCTGTTATAGAGCCTTAATGGGATTCTTTGACAAACCTGATACAATTCCCCGGCAAGACACTTTTGGCCACTGCTGGGTAGTCCGCTTGACTGATCACATCCAGATATCCCTGCTGATGCCAAAAGACAGCAGGTAACCCCACGGCGAATGCATTTACCTCATTTCATCATAGAGCATGATCATCTCTCATGATCTTTCCATGGTTTCCACATTCTTTGAGACCCCTTAGGAACCAATTGAAACGCGGTGATATGGCTCAAAATGTCTAGCAGCCATATAAAGACAAAGCAAAACGGCCGGGAACTGATTGAGTCCAAAACACCAAACGCTGTCCGGTTTTGTACCGATCGCAAAGCCACTTTCGAGTGGCCGTACCTCGGCTAGGACGGGCACAAAACGGTCTGCAAATGGGCAGCCCAGTGGCATATCAAAGTGGCCACCATTCAAACCACCATTCAACCGCTATCAGCGCTAATCTGCAAAACCACCGTCCCGTCACCGTCGCTCTCACCGTGCCGTGATGCAGTTCAAGTGCTCCATGCAACCAGCATGTCGCAACACCGTGATGTCCATCTCCCCAAACTGCTCGTAAACCTGCTGGGTTTGCTGTGGAGTGATCACCAACCCGGCAGTACTGGCAAATCGCTCCATCGGATCGATGTGTTGGAATTGGACGCCCAAATTCTGGGCCAAGAGTCCTACGGCCCCATAGAGCTCGGTGTCGTTGTGAACGGTATGGGTGCCAATCATCTGGACCTGGTCGCGCCAAGGAATTCGATAGTTTTCCATGTTGGAGTGATGCAGGGGATGCCAAAAGACCTCCATCCCAGAGGCAACGACAGAGGGATGTGTACCATAGTCCTGTGCTGCCAAAGAGGTCTGCGCCAGGAAGACTGCCATGCCTTCAGGAACCAGAGAAAACAAGTCGACGTGATCATAAACGTGCAGAGCTGGAGGCAGGCTGTGATTGCTGTTGGACCGATTAGCAAGCACTTCCATCGCACACTTGCATGGAAATTTCACATGGACGACAATGGCCGGATTCGACCAGTTTTTTCCATAGACTGCCACATCGCTACACCAATTGGTGCAATCTTGATTCCATGCTCTTGCTTTGATATTCGGACCAATCGGCAGTAGCTGGCGCAAGCCACGAGCGACCTGTCGGCCACGTACTGTGAATGAACCCCACTTGAATCCCGATGATGTGCCACTCAAAAAACAGCACTTCCATCCCCTCCAATTCGCAGAGGCGTTCGGCCAACTTGGCAAAGTCTTTGGGTTTCTCCACTTCTCGGCCGTGCGCCTGCAAAAGAAAGAAATAAAGAACTTGTAATTGCCGGGCTGTTTCTTTTTAAAATCCAAACAAATGAAACACAATCACTATCACTGGACTATCACCTCACAAAGGGATCAAAAAGGCCAAATGAACAGCATGAAACACCTGAAAAGGCGATTGCGACCAATGCCACTCCCATGTTTCTCGCGATGCCATGACTCGATCCACACATCTTGGGAGCAGAACCTCCTCTTGAATGGCCAACTGGTCAATCGGCCAATGCTTGGCAGTTTGAGGTTTCCGAGAGTTGTTCACTTGCTCCAGCAGCCTGAACTGATCTGATGTTTAAAAGGGGACCTGAACTTCCAGAACAGTGTGACTGCTTTGTGCTTCTTGGACAGTGGATACTTCAACTGGTCAACAAAATGCATAGACCAGGGACGAGAGCCAAGGCCATCTAGTGGTCAGCAGGTCATAGAAGTAGTGTCTCTTGTGTCCGACTCTCTCTCCATTCATGGCATCCCACGTCTTCAAAGCATCCAAGGTCAGGAAGGAAAAGTCAGAGTCCGAGATTTGAACCACACTTGACATCTGGGCAGCTCTTAGTAGAGACAGCAGTGCAGTTCCTACTGCAAAGGGACAGGTGCTGTCAACTTCATCCAAGAATGCGCTGGCAATGTCAGCAATTTCTCGAATTTGGGGCAAGTCGAGTTCGTTGCCCGCAAGCAGGACTTGTATCTTGGAAAAGAGGCCGTCAGCCCTGACGGGAGAAGCGCGATGATGCAACATCTCTGTTCTCAGACCCCCTCACCTCACCAACTTTCTTGATGTGTCTTCGACGCTTTAGTGCTACTTCTTACGGGGCAAAGACTTTCACATGTGCGCCCACGAAAATCATGAAACCAAGTCCTCACTCCCAAATCTGTCTAGACACGACATCCCCACCTTTCTCCATCCAAAAGGTCGCAGTCATTGGGGATCACATTGCCAAAATTCAAGCGGAAGGCTTCGCCCAAACGACGCATCAAGGTGACAATGGGCCAGCCCGAAGAGGCCAGAAGGGCCAAAGGGAAGTCAAAGAAAAAAAACAATCCTTCCAGCTCCAATTGTGCCTGGCACATTTTTGGGCTATGATGGGCTATGTCAGCTACAGGTGCGGCTATGTCAGCTTCAATCTTTTTTCATGTTTTTCAGCAGGGACCCCCCAAATCCGCCCCACACATGAACATGGTTTCTTGGTGTTTCCGCGTGGGGGTTCTTGCAAACTGTATCCATCTCAGGCTGCGGTGTCCCCGGAAGTCCTATGACCTTAAGAGCTATCTGTCGCTGACCTGGCATTTGATCGGTTTGGTTCCTCCCATCGGGCCCAGATAGAGAGAATGGATTCACATGCAATGGCATGCAAAAAAGGCTGCTTTCGTGATTTGACTGGCCTTCTTCCATAGCACTCCGTGGATGTCCCAGTCAGGAATTTCTTCATCTTCTGAAAAGGCAGCACAGGAATGTACACACAGTAGCTCTGTAAGCGTGAGTGTCACCACTCCCAGAAAGCAATCGGCCTGTTGCAACACGACGAGTGGTCTCAGTACGTCATGTTGTATGTCTCAGTCGTTTGAGTGGTGAAAGTACATGGGCCAAAACAGATGTCAAACATGCAAAACGTATCAAAACGTGATGCATGAGGTGTATGACAGCAGTGCATGAGGTGTATGGGTATCCCAGCTTGCGTCCATGTTCCAGAATCTAGAAGCGGCGTCTAAAGCCGCAAAGAAGTTCATGTCATGCTCGAGTTCTTTTGGTGTCTGAAAGCTCAGGGTGAAATTCAGTCCACCAAACAATTTCAAGCCAATAATATCTAAATCATATTGGTATACCTCAAGGCCAGTAGACTCTTGTGTTATCTTGTGCGCACAAGGGGCTTATGGGGAAGCTCTGTTTTTCGCCCCCCAGCCACCTTCGCGGCACTAAAGGGGAACTCCACGAAGTCCACGTCGCTGCTGGCACGTTGCCACATGTCCTCAGGGCTAAGCCGACAAGTGGAAAAAAGTGAAGAAACAATCACAACACCTGCTTTTGGCTACTAATAGCGATGCACTTGTTACTAATAGCTTCTTGTTACTTGATATTACTTGTAGTAATGCACTAGTTAGTACTGCTTTGGCCCATAGAATCTGAAGAGTAGAGTGCTTTGCCTTGCCACCGGACAAACTCGTTCGTCTAACCAGGGCCCAAATGCGAGGTGCCAAGTCTATGTATGCGGCGATGACCGTTTGACTCAAACGGGTGGTGGTTTGATCACCGAAGAGAGAGACCAAAGAGCTTGCAGTTTCACTCCCCTGAAACCAAAAAAAGCGAGTGAAGTCTCCTGCAACTGCTCGGAACAGGAGCCGCAGAACTGACTCTCGTTGGTTGCAGCAACCTTGTTGGCCCTTTCCTTCACAGGCGACCACAATCCATTGCACACTGGCCTGCTAAGATCGGTATCCGAGAATTGGGTCATTTCCTGCATGCAGACACATAGCGAACGAAGAAACACCTGTGAAGGCTGCAACATGATGGAGAAGGCATTAATCTTCTTTGATGCACAAATCATGGGGCGGCCAGCGGCGCCAGAAAGAAGAAGTGACACACACACGCACACGCACACACACAAACTGTGTACACAAATAAAGCTTCCCTGACAAAGGTCAGTTTTCGGCTTGTGATACATATTCTGCCTTAATTTAAATCTTTCCGGGGGGGAAATTAACAGAGTCGTCCGTATCAGTTGCCGATGAAGTCTTTTTGCGTGGGAGGCCATGAGGGTAATAGCAATGTCAAAGACACCCTCGATAGAAACAATTTCCAATAAAATATCCGTTTCCTATCATGAGGTGTTCGCTACATAACACCAGCAAACAATCGATGACGATGGTGTAAGTCAGGTTATGTTTGGAACGCGCAGCTGCTAGACCAGATGGCACGACTCTCATCAATTTCATGATTGTGCCCGATCCTTATCACTGCCAGAAGGTCATGCTTTTTGGCAATTGTGCAAACTTGCAACCGTTTGGCAATACACTGCTTGCACAGTTCTCCGTTCTTCTTGCTAATTGAACTGTAATCCGATTAACCTCAGAATATTGGGCATGAACAAATCATCAATGACGTTTGAAAGCTTTGGGCGTTTATTGGGAGGATGAGATTATCGTATATTGTCGTCACCCAGGTCCGTTTTTGTGGAAGCTGTTAGTCCAAAGCTGCACGCGTCGTCGTGTGTTAGTCCTTGTTGGCCCACCAAAAGGATACCTGGTAGCTAAAGAACGCGCGCATGAAAGAATCCTCTTCCAATTGCTGAAGCAAACCCTGCGTGCCCATGGACGGGTACGAGCCTAAGCAACACTGCAGCAAAACAACCCAGAAGAGTCAGTCCTACCCCAGCTGTCAACTAAGGACTCGGCCGGTGTATGCCAGCGATCGAAAGTCAGGAATCGCTTCATCGTGAGGCAAAAGATTGGCTGCATTCCTCAGTATAGTAACTATGTCGCTATTCATGGAGGCCTGTCCAGTAATCTGTAAATTTCAACGAACTCTCAGTGAACTTGGTGGAATCGCACGAGGGCATCTGGCGCCGCCGCGTCTTGCGCGTCCCTTCGGGCGCACGGCCCCACGACGCCTAAAGACCGATTTCTGAAACTATTTAAGTTTAATAGCTTCTTGTTACTACTAGTAAGGCACTTGTTACTACTAGCGTGGCACTTGTTACTAGTAGCTTTCCTTACCCCCCCTATTCGACTTCTCCAAATCCGGAGATTGGGGGAGCATCGATCTTTATTTTCCGACCAAGAATCACATTGGGAGCTAGAGCAAAGTCCACAGCTTCGAGCCCTGGATTTTGACACTTGATCCAGGTTTCCCGTGCGAAGTGCCAACAGCGATCTGGCAGGCTCCTCGATGTAAAGCCGCTCCCCAGACTCGCATCCTCCAATACACGAGGTGTTCCTACCAACCACTCCGGTTCAGATCGACACCCCTGCACTGCAAAGAGCCAGCAGTAGAGTTCAGACTCCGACTCAGCAGACACAGCCACTATACATAGGAGGACATGGCAGCTGCGCATTCAGTAACCAACTGAACATGTACAAATTATGCTTTCATTCAAGAAGAACGATAACCAGGAAGCTTTTTAACTTGCCCGTCTAGAGCAAGCACAGTACGCATCCTTTCTTAGCTTCTGCAACTTCTTCGGTGTTGCTGCAGTTAGGACTGCAGTTTGTTGCCTCAGGCTTGATAATATGATATAATATGATATGTCGAACTTGATTGCTTGTTCACTATAGTAGCCCAAATGTCCACTCTGTGCAAGATATCACAAAGCAGCAATCCCATTTTCAGCTTGATGACCAATTGCCCGGCTCTAGTACAATCTGCAGCCAATTTCCTTGTTTCTCCAAATTCCAACGAGCGCTCTCCAACTGCCCCAGATCCTATCGCAATTCCAACGACTGCGAGCCGCTGTCCAGTTCTGCTCGCTGTTCCGACGACCGTGCACGGCTCTGGGAGCATCGACGCGGAGATCTTCTCGCAGCGATTGCGACTGTGCGAACTTCCCGGACCGGAGTCAGCTTTCTGTGCTTCTTGACAGAAGCTCAGTGATGCGGATGAATCAGGGGCTGCCATCTATCTCCAGTATCCAGTCCTAGAAAAGCTGTTGCTCCGCCTGACGCGAAATTGAGAATCAATATCTCAAGATTCAGATTCAATACTGCTACTGCGTTCAAAACCCAACAAAGAACAACTCTTACCATCCTTGATGGACCCAAGAAAGAGAAAGAAAGAAGCAACTTCGAGTTTACTGATTCCAACATTTGATGCTCAGGATCAAACCTGGGTCCTCTGCTTGAGCTTCGCTCATTCCGCTCGCTCCGCGGATCTTCACCTCAGTCCGTTCTGGACATGTGACGAAGGAGGCTTCGGCTTGGATTCCGGCCCAAACGAGGCTTGGATCGTCCGTTCTCGTGTCCAGCATGTTTGGATCGTTCTCGTGTGACACGCAGAAGCTCAATGCATCCCATGAGAATATTTAGGGATAGAACGATGGAACGATGGTTGAAAAAACACGGCATGCCTTGATGCCTTGATGATCCTTGATGGCTTTATGCAATGTTATGCAAATGATGCATTTTTTTTTGCGCTTTCCATGTCTTGGGCCGATTCACCACAGGAATCTCGAGGTTCTTCGCCAACTCCATTGAGTGGCTCCCGAGTTTTCTCGGTCAAAACTCGTTTCAGAGAGCTTTCCAGAGCGAGGCTTCCAAAAAATTGGACCTTGAGTCGAAACACAAAGGTGCTGCTTATTTAGGGAATTATTGGAATAGGGAGACCACCCAAAGACCTCTGGGAAAATCAAAAGCAAACTAGTGACTAAATCCATTGGTTGGCAGATCCCCCTATTAAAATACACACCCATATCATCCCATATCTACAATTAGTCCAATGTGTCAAGATTGGACACATCATGACACATCTGACAAGCGTCAAAGAAGCCTGCTCAGGAGGATGAGACGCTAAACATGTCGGAATCCATCATCGTAGATGTCCAGATCATGCAAAAATGAACAAAAACTGTTTGGGTATGGCTCCTCCCTGAACAAGAGAGAACCCTGGTTAATCAGTGTCATCAGTAGTCACTCAGTAGTCATCAGAGTCATACCCACTAGTGCCTCTAGCGATGGAAAATATGTGAGTATGGCATGCGAGCTCGCAAATTATCCTCCGGTCGCCCGAAGGGAAAACGCTTCAGCAATGTGCAGTACTCTGCCAGCAGGGTCAGTGCAGCGGTCAGTTCCAAAGTTGCATGGACGATTTGAGCCACCGATCCAGCGCAATAGGCGTTCAGGTCCAAGTCATTGATGCTGTCCTCCACAAATTCATGACATCAACGGGTACCGGGTACTGTATGTCTCTGAAATGGAGATTTGTCATCCGAAGTTTCAGTCTATTCTCCCTACTAGACCATGGTTTTCGTGGTTTTTGCGGGTTCCTACCCAACCAAGATCTCCAAACGCCTGTCCTTGCATTGAGCTATTGCTTCCGCAAAAACATGACCTGGCAAACTGCAAATCGGTGGGACATCAGTTGGATACTATCTTGCACACTTATATACGCCCTGTTCGTGTCAATTGTTCGTATCTGCATGCCAAAAGCGTCCCATGCTTCGGTTTTGCAACACAATGGCTGTCTAGTGGCTGGCAACTGCAAAGGCTGCAAGGGATCCCTGAGCATTAGCAGCACACCTCGCGAATCGCAAGTAAAACCCACACAATATGTGGTTGCATCATGCCAGTGGCTGCCAGTGCATCACTCAAAACATAGTCAACGCAAACTCAAAAAAGAACTGAATGCACAGGACTTTGCTGAATGACCACCAGCCTCTTTGGCGAGACATTCAGCGGTCCAAAAATGGAGAGCCAAAGAAGGTTCGTATCAATAATGCATTCGTGTTCTGTCGCAAACGCATTTTTCCATGGCGATCATTTTCTCACACATACTTCCGCAGTGTCTGCGCGAACGAATGACCCACCATTTTAGCCAGGCTCCAGCCCTGTTGAGGCCCCTGCCGGATTGTCTCGTAGAAATCAAAATGCTCCACACAATGCTCTGCGACACCCGACAGCTCCAGCGCAGCGCGCCCAATGAACAAAGCGCCCTCCAGCGCGCCCACCGGACGGAAAGCGAGGTCCCACCGGGGTCTTGAACCGATCACGTGAGGATTGGGGCGTTTGAAGCACCAATAGGAACAAAGTACATATACAGAGCGACAAGAAAAAACATGTATAAATATATATTTGTCACTGCACTCACGTGGAAGATCTTTTCCAAGGTTGCGCAAGTGAACCTGTCCGGCACGTG